AATATATTACTAGGTACTGAATTAAATACTGCGGTGTCTTGTAATATGTGATGTGTGCCGTTCCACATGCCTCTATAAAAGTTGAAAGATCCTAAATAGTGACACATCTGACCCCATCAATTTGGGTCAAGCCTTCATATCTATGATAGCACCTGTAACAAACTGCCTAAATACCACTGTTGTAAGATTATGAGGCGTGAATCATAAGTATGAGGGGAAAGTATTTGAATATGTTAATTACTGAGTCTAACAAGTAGGTGTTCTGCACGTACCATTGTCTCTGGATTGGTAATAGTTACTCAGAGTACGAATTGCCAACTTTGTGGCTGAACACACAGTGACCTCCATCTGTGCCATAACCTTGGGCGCACATGTCAGAGACACTTCATCCTAATTTGGGACAGAAGAGGATAATTGCTTTTCAGTTTGTCCTCCATGTGCGTTTTTTGAAGGCATTCTTTCCATTTCTGACACTTGTCAAAGAATTCTCTGCTCTGATTTACACCATGTCAAAATGGCAGTTTTGGTGTCCTCAAGGGACTCAAATCACATTCCTTTGAGTTTGGGATATATAAGACTGAAGAGGCAAGATCGGGATGGGGGGGGGAAGGGGGTTGGATGGGATAAAATTTTGGACAACCCTTGATAACTATCCTGGAAGAATGAGCAGATGTATTGGAAAACAATTCTTCAGAACAACTTTATTAGCCTTTTTTCTCACCCGTGCAGTTTTTCATTTTCTTAAGACTTCTTCCTAATAAGCCCTGTGTCGTTGAAGAAAAACGTTAAGCTTTTTTTTTTCCCCTTATACTTTTCTAAGTTGACCTCTCTCCCTGAATTTAACTGGCACAGCAGATCCCCGAGGAAGCCACTGTTATGATTCAGCCTTGCTCTCTGAATCATATTGCTAAATTAAGAGTTGTCCTGCTTTGATTTTGCTAGAACAAATGGTGGGGAGATCAGTTGTGAACTAGTGGGTCTTCATGCAATGTTTTTGGCACCTATTGAGCTAAAAATTTGCTGAGGCCAAGATGTTCACTTACTATTGAAGATGCCAAACCATGTGAAGTCCCAACTTCTGTAGAGTCGCATCAGTGATAATTCTGCTGTCTTCTTACTTAATTTGTTGAGATTGATGCTTGATCCCTCTACCACTATTTTGTTGTGGGGCCGCATTCCTGTAAGCTTGTTGAAAACCTTCAGTGGTTTGGGAGATGTTTACCCGAATTTTATTTAAAAATTGATTTTATCCTGACATCGAAAATAGTATTCCTTCCTATGGCACCAAAAAATAGCACTTCTGACTTTTTTAAAGGCACACTCATAAGACAAGTGGATTACTGAGAAAACGTCTCTGTAACCAGTCACAGGTCACTGAGTCAGGTTTAAACATATTTTCTTAGGAGCAAACTAATGCATATAAAAACTAGAATCTTAACAGCAGTACTTTTTAATTTACCCTCTCTGGTATACTTATGTTCTCAATGGTTCTTAATTTATTAAACGAAACACTTTCATTGAAGTGTAGAGTACGGTGGAAATTGTTGATCTTTCCCTTATTTTTTTAGTCTCCTACAAAAGCTGTATATAATGCCAGACATTGGAACCACCCAGATTCAGAAGAACTACCTGGGCCACCAGTAATAAAACCTCAAAGTGTCACAGTAAGTCAATTGTATCTCAATTTAGTTGTTTTCCTTCATGCATTTTAAATTGCTTTGACTTTTTTCACTGAAATTTAGTGGCTCCTGTTTAAGTCACTGGAAAAGTAAGAAGTGTAGTCGATAAAAGTGCAAAAATTCTGGTGCTAATAGATTAGAGATGAAAACTTGAAAAGGCTGGCCTTTTTTACTCCTTATCCACAGTTGATGAATTCTGTTACTTGATGTTTAAGTGCAAGCAGTTCCCTTATTTGAAGTTGTTATCAGCCATTAAAACAATATTATAAATTACATCCTACATAGATCTACAAGTGACTTTCGGTGGTTAATTTATTTTTCAGACGAGAGTCTCAGCTTTCCAGTAACACCTTTCAACTGAAAACAAACTTGACAAAGACTCTTATGAAATTAATTTTTTGAGGACTGATAAGTATATCATATTTCTAGATTAATAATAAAACCTTGATCACATAGAGCTATCAAGGGAAGAGATTTTTTTTTTTTAAGGAAATGAGGGTTTTAACAACCAACCAGTTAATTGAAAACAATTTTTCCATATGCTTCTGAAATAAAATTTGAAACTTGAAAGTCTTTAAATGATATTATTTCATAATTTTTCTGGTAAAAAGATTTTTCCCATCGGGTTCTCTTTACCAAAACATACTG